GATCTGCATATAAATTACCAGTGACCTGCAGTGACAACAGCAATAGGCAGAGTGGAGCAAGCCCAGGAATGAATGAATGGCTCTGTCAAGGAGAGGCACACAGTGCTGGGCTAAGCCCTGCAGGGTAGGTTCATTCACCTATATCTGGCAGAGGCTGCTGCTCTTTTTTTGCTAGAGAAAATACCTGTTCATTGTGATGTAGTCACAGTAAGTACTGAACACCCTTACACAATTATAGAGCATTTTCCCAGTCACTTTTCCATGAGTCTCAATGTGAAAGGTAATGAGCCATTTTTCATACTAACACAGTGAGGAGTGCAAAGATGGAGACACACACACACTGAGCCTCCCTACAGGGCTTAGCCAAGAGGTCAAAGGTAATCTTGAACCTAGGCAGCCCACTGGGCAAGCATGGCTAGGAAGCGGCAGTTTCTGTAGCCAAAGGCACACAAGAGATTGATGTGACTAGCATCGTAACTGGTTGCCTTGATTCTCCAGCCCAAATGACCAGGCACCCATTTACAGGTGGGTTGAGTGAGGATGACTTTCAGTTTAAGTTATGCATCTGAAACCATAGCAAGATACCTAGTCCCAACAGTACCCTCTTTTTGAAGGATGATCACTTCTGGTTTCTTCTTTCTCTACCAGGTCAAAACTGGTGACTGCTGTCTCAGCCTCTCTCAGTTTTCTGGTAACCTAGTAAGAGAAATATGAAAGCAGGTGCTATTCTGCAAGGCATGAAAAGAAATGTGTGCAAAGAATGGAGTGAGATCAGCAGGGGCAAGCAAAAGGGGGTGCAGTCAGGGGAGAGATCAGCAGGGCATGCTGAAGGCTTGAGAGCGAGGGAAAATAGGATTGTCACCTGAATGCTGGAGAGGGGGAAGTAAAGGTTAGTGTTAGCTTAAAATGTTTGCTGAAATGTGACAGGGAGAGGTTGGAGGGGAGTCACAGGTTCAAGATCATACAGCACAAGCAAGTCAAATGTCAGTAATGGCATGCAGAAGACTTTGCTTTAAAATCTCAGAGAATAGCAGTAGTATGGTGTATAAGTTGACAAGAGATCAAGATTCAGTTTGAGAGATGATATAAAGACTGCAGGGGTCAGGCTCAACTTACGAATGGTGAGTAGCTAACCAGAACAAAAGAACATCAGCTTGCCAATGGAGGGAAAATGAAGGGCCAGCGGCTAGAGGTCAGCCTGTATACTCTGAAGGTCAGGATGAGATGAAGGAAGATATTCATCCCTATGTCTGACTTGATTTTTTCTTTGCTAGGTTTCGGGTCACCCATATTGAGAAGAAGTCCAGTTTCCAGGAGCAGCAGGATGAGTCCCTTCCTGATGGCAGCAAGGGCCCTAGTTCCGATGGCTTAGAATATAAGGCCTGCAGTGATGAAAAGCTCCAACAGGAGGGTCCTCAAAGTGGAATTGTTCAAGTGGACGGTGTACAAAAGGGAGGAATCCAAGAGGAAGGTTATTCAAATGCCCCAGGCCAAGGCCAGGGTTCTACAAATGCACCAGCCAACTTGGATGCTCACAAAAATGGACCAGAGGGAAAGGGCGCTAGTAAGTCTGGCTCACTGAAGGATGTTAGTCTCCAAAACATTGCCCCCAAGAATGAAAGTGACCAAAAGAAGTATGAGGGCCTTCGGGTTCCTGGAAAGCAGAATGCTGGAGACCCAGGAGACAGGAAAGAGGTGGTGAAGTGGGACAAAAGAAACACTGCCCTTCGGGAGAGCACTACACAAGGCGCAGGTAATCAGACATCAGAAATTAAAGGAGCCCATGGTCTGCAAGAAAGACCTAGAGCAGATGTGTCTGGAAACGAAGATGCCAACAGGAAAGAAACCAAAATGGAGGACATAGGGCAACAGGTAGGATTCCCTTTGCTCCTTCCTTGTCCTCTGAGCAGGGCACACAAAATCCACCCAGTGACTGCTGCTGTGCAGCAGGTCATTAGGGAACAGAGGTCAAAACTTTGAAGATAATGGAAGGGAACCAAAAGTTCTGGTGGAGAGGGGTCTGCACAGCATAGCCAAGTCCTGGAGGTTTTGGATGCTGCTTCATGGACTGGGAGCTGTAAGCCCCAAACCCACTGAGTAAACCCTAGGGCAACACTGCAAATGCAGTGGAGGATAAGCAGCTGAAGGGTTAAGCTGTGAGATGGTTGCTCAGGTCTCCTTTCCAAAGGGATCTCAGAGACAGGGAGTGGATCTCCCTACTCCAGACACTGAAATGACATTCAGGATCATGCTTCATGGAAGCTGGCTGCAACCACCCTGTAACAGGCTAACGTTTCAGGGCCATGTCTCAGTGCCGGCCGCCCATCTGTTCTGGGCTAAACCCCCACCTCACTCTCCTGCCACACCTTGATGAAAATAATATGAATGTTATTTCTAAGGTGGGAGGCTGCCCATTGTTCAACCTCTTGATAACAGGGTCCTAAGTACACTCTCTGACCTCCCTTTACATGTGTCCCATGCCTCGCAGCTCTTTCAATGTCACATCCAGTATTTCCATATTGTCAATTCCAGTATTACTGTCACAGCCGGTATTTCCATATTGTCCCATCTGATATATCTATTCCCCCAAGTCAGTGGTTCTGCCCCACACTAGGGCTACTCATCTTTACCACTCTCAACTGGGTCGCTCTACACACTCAGCTCCTCACTGGGCCTTCTGCCCCTCACTAGGCTGCTTCACACTCCCAGGGTCTTCCACCCTATAGGCTCAGGTGGCTGCTGCCGTGCCTGGCCCCTAACACTGGGGTCTCTCACCCTGTAGGCTCAGGTGGCTGCCATTGTGCCTGGCCCTTACACTGGGCTCAGGCATCCCCAACACTGGACTTGCCTGGCCCCACTCCCTTCCAGTGTTGGTAACCCACCCATAGGCAGGGACTAGGGTTATAAGGCACTCCTCCTCACTTTTCCCCGGGAGGAGGGGGGTTGTTAACTGGTGTGGCATTTCCTGGGGGCTTGCATGCCACTAGGAGCCTCAGACCACCCTTCCCTGGCAGAGTGCAGTTTCAGGTCATGGCCAGGACCAGGTGCCTCCAAACCATCCCCATAGCTCCTGCCCTTACCTCCAAGATATCCCAGGAGCAGCTCAGCCTGATGTTGCCTTCTGGCCTGCTCAGCTCAGACTGCTGCTTCTCTCTTTGAGGGCCTAAGTTAAATTTGATACCCAGCACTGTACTAGATTTCAAGATGGTAGGTATTGACTGTGAGCACTTAGAGTACTTTGAGGGAAGTACAGGCTAAGACCTCTGTCACATTTGAAAAAAATCAATAACAAGAATGGGGAGGAAGCTGGCTCTATCAGCAAACACTGGACTGGCAGAGAAAAAGAGTCCATGCAGTAGTCTACTGAGCTTCCAGGGATGCTGATTCCCAGCAAAGTATTTTTTCCTTGGAGCTCGGGAAGAAGTGAATCCATAAGTCAAAGACCCTATCTTGAAATCATGACTGTATGGACTATACTGGTTTTCACACCCAGAATATCTTCACTATGGGAGACCTTCTTCTTCTGCCTCAGACTTGAGGATCTTCACTGCAATAATGCTTTGTGTTCTGATGTTGACTCCACTGGGCTCAGTCACCTTAGCACAGTGACTGTCAACCAGGGTGCCCTGGCATTCTGTAGTGCCTTGAGACCCTTCTGTGTGTGCCATGAGGTGCAAACATGATTCACAAGATAAACCCAGAGTTTTCATATAAGAATCCATAGTGTTAAAAACATTCTGACATGTTGTGGTCTTCCTTAGTTTTTTTCAACAGAAAAATTCAAAAATAAGTGAAAAACTCATTAAAAAATAAGTGAAAAAGGTCTAAATAAGTAAAAAAGACAAGTGAAAATTAAGATCTGCCATTTTTGGAGGAGTGCCTTGAATCTAAGAAGGTTGAGAACCACTGCCTCTAGGAAAAGGCCTTTTAGTATTGGTTATTTAAAGATCTCCTTCCTCAGAGCTCAGTACCTGAACTGTAGGCATGGGGCTTGGTGACATTGAGCAGTACAATCTAGGGTATCATTTATTTTGGCACTCTTATTACTTTGATTGGAATCTTGGACATAGATATGGCTTCCCCAGCATTAGCCCTGCCAAACTGCCTTCTCTCTAGGTAATGGCCATCTTCCATGGCATTAAGCAGGGACTGTTTCACTGATTCCCTTGTCCACATCTCATGTATACTGCTCCATCAAGAGGGTGGTCCTGAAGTCTTCAGACTTGGCCATACTGCTGTCTGGGATGAGTGCCTTCATTTCATTCAAGGATTGCTTGCCCTTATTGATCTGCAAGCTTTTCTCAGCTTGGGTGATTCTCTAAACCCACCTGTGGATTTACCTTGGTATCTATCTGGTTCATAGGTTCCCTTGACAGTGAATCTATCATATCTTCAGGGGTTACTAGCATCACAGTCTTACTGAGTTATGTGGACCAAGTCAGCCAAGACCTAGAAACCCATCACCTGATCTGCCAACCATACTGAAGTGGGACTTTTTGTGACATCTTTTGCATGACCGATATTAGTATCTCCTTGGTGTCTGTGTTCTCTTGGGCCCTAACTGCCTCAGGAAGTTTAGGAAGACATAGAGGCTACTAGAAATCCTGGCTCATTTTTTGTCATCTTATTTCTCAGTCTTTATTCCTCATTCTTTTTGTTTGGAAACTGCTTCCTTCCCAATCTAGGTCATAATAGCCTGACTATTAGCTTCTGAGGCATGGACAAGGCAGATCTTTTTAAGGGAGCTTTTAAGGATGGGGTTGCTTCTCAAGAGAGTGGGATAATCCATTTTTTTTGTTAGTGCTGGGCAGTCTTTTTAAGAACTGTCATACTTTTGGGGGGTTGCTGTTGTCTTTTTCCTGTTTATACTGATTGTCTATTTAAATCATTGGCAGGAACACCTCAAGCATGAAATAGGCTTCTCAGGTTTTATAAATCTAAATGAGCAAACATTCCTTTGGCCTTCTCCCCAGATGACTTCAACAGTGCTCAGTAATTCTCAGACACTGGTTCTGGGGTTATCAGAGTTAAAGGAGAAATTCCCAGTCACCTTTTAGACATTCTTCTGTCAAAACATACTGGCAGAATGTTTCTCCCATTCAGCAAGGGTCATCTGGAACCAGCAAAGATTCTGAGGCCTACTCTAGCCTCCAAACCATATTCTAGTCTAATATAATAAAAGCCTTAGTCTGTCTGTCTGTAACACTTTATTTGCACTCTGATGGGTTGTCTTGGCAGCGAATCACAATGATGACTGAAACAACCAATCAGAGTGCCCTGCACAGACAGACACACACAGTGGAGCGCCACCATGACCATGGGGACTGAGGGGCTGGAGCTGGGGAGGCGAGGCCAGCAGCACTGGCCTTGCCTCTCCCCTCCCCCCCACTCACCCTGCTCCTTGGAGGCAGAGGGGGATACTGAGCAGTGTTGCCCCCTTGGTTTCCTGTGGCAGGTTAGGGTGCTTTTGATGTCTTTGGGAAATTGGCCTTATAGTTGTGCTACAGGGTTGATTGCATAGTGTTAGGATAAGGTTAGACAAGGACTTGTATGTGGTGGTTTGGATAGGAATGATTCAGTCTTGATCAGGGGATTTGACTAGAAGACCTGGCAGTCCCTTCCAGCCCTACTTTTCTGTGATTCTATGACTAGCACAAGATAGAGCTGTGGCACCTTAAAGAATAAATCAGAGAGGCATAAGCTTTTGTAAGCAACAGCCTACTTCATCTGATGCTATAAAAGGATCTTCAGGGAGCAGAGGTTCTTAATAGAAAGCAGTAATTTAAATTCAAAGGATAGGGAAGAGGGGAAGAAAGGAGAGTGGCCTTTTACCCAATGAGCATATGGGGAATGAGCAGCATGTTCACCCTGTTGCATGTTGTCATTCTGGACATTAGAGGGCCCCAGGACAGGTTTCATAAGAGTATAGTAGGCATATTGCTAGGCAGTTTCATCTAGAGTGGGGGCACTTTGTTCTCTCAGTAGAGCTTTTGTACAGCTCAGCACCATCCTGCTGACAGGTTCCTCTTCCAGTGATGGCTGTATTCCAGTAGTGAAGGAGAATATCCTTGCAGGCGCCAGGCAAAAATATATTAAGAAAGAATAATGGCTGGCAGTATCAGGTACTTATAAAAGAGGAAATAACCTTTCTTGTTAAAAATAGAATGCTAAAAAGTCAGGACCATCAGAGTTGTTGGTGTTATTGCTAGTTGCTGAGGCTCTGTTCTGCTGGGTGTTACATAAACACATTGGAGGACATAGCCCTGTCCCAAAGAGCTTTCCATCTAAACAATGTGATTCAATGAGTCAGAGCAAGACAAGCATGAGAGTAGGGTATATGGTTCAGCAACAGACATGCAAGCAGGAAAGTATACAGATCAAGACAAGAAACATTATTTACCTCTTTCCTCTTTATATTCCTACCCATCTCATCCTAGCTGAATTCCTGCCCATCTCCCTAGCTTCAGAAGCTCAGTTCCAATGGGATGGGTTTTTTATTTCTCTTTTTTTAATAGTAAGTGGCTACTCTTCTGCCATTTGCTTTCGACTTTCTTACCCTCTCTTTCACACAAATCAGTCTCCAAAGTCAACTCCTGTCTTGGCATAAGAGAACAGTATGGTATTGGGGTCAGTGTGTTAGGAATGGCTTCTTGTGCTGAAAGGATGCTGCCTGCTGTTCTTTTCCAGGGCACAGAGGCAGAGGGAGATCTCTGTCCAGCAAGGTCCCCCTACTTGTGTTGGTGCTCTAACAGCAGTCATTTTCTCTTGTTCTCTCAAGTTTGTGGCTTTCCTGCCTAATGAGAAACCAGGGTAGAGGATATGTCTGGACACTGTGCTCTGGGTGCTTCACTGTTGACACTAGGGGTTCTGCAAGGAGAGGAGGAAGTTCTATTATTCTCCACCTACTCCTGTTGTCATCATAGTTCTACTCCAGGCTCCTTTTCACCTTATTGCAGTTCTCATCTGGATCTGCATTTTTTGCATTCTCAGGCTCACACCCCCCCATGTCTCTCTGCTTCATGAAACTGTGCTATGGGCATTTCTTGTAAAAACCAGCCTTCTAATACATGTAGGCACCAAGCCCTCAGAAACATCTGAGATCCACAGAGATGTTCAGGCAGAACCCGCTAGACCTGGTCCCTCCTTGGGTCTAGGCTTCAATTTGCCTCCATGTTAAAGTTGCCAAGGATCCTCTTTGTTATCTTTTTATTTCCAGAAGGGCCATCATGTCATGTCAGAAGCTCAACATGTTAGGAATTTCTCACATAACCTATTTAGTGACCAGCTAATCATGGCCTGTTGAGTACATAGAACAACGAACTCAGACAGCTTCAACCAACCACCCAGAGGAGGCTCTAAGATATCAGAATTTTGCATCTTGGATGGTATATAGAGTCTGCAGATGTTACAGCTCTCCCATAACTCTGCTTTCACCTTTGATCTCAGAATCAGTGTTTCTCTGCTTTTACCCTCCTTCACCGAATGACTTTAACAATATCCTATCCATGGTGCTGACTGGTTACAACGATAACCTGTCTTCATTCACTCCCCATCTGCCACAGACTGCACAATCCACATGCAGGCCATGAATCTATATGCACTTACTAGTAATAGAACATCATTGCCTTGAAAGCTCAGCGTTACCTGTGTTGGGGGAGGGAACAGGGCTGCAAGGGGGACCCCTATGAGGAATTTGGTTCACTTTGCAGTTCCACCTTTCCTGAATCAAGCACAGCTGGCACTCCCCCAGGCCTGCGCTGGGTAGCCCTAGTGATACTCCTAGAAAGGCTCTGTTCTTGAGACCCATTTGACTGAACTCTGTGGTGGAAGGAGGAAGGGCTGTCAGCCCCTTGTGGCCAGGTATGGCAAACCACCCTGTTCCACATTTTGTGTATAACCTGCGCAGGATTTCTGCAGCATGGGCCTCCCCTCACATGCTTCTAGAAAATAAGTTTTCACAGATCCTATCAGCAGTTGCTCTTCTATTGTCTTACCCTACCACATGAACCCCGATCTCACTGTTACTAGGGGCCCCTGTAGAGAGGCTTGAAAGTGGCCACAAGGATCTGGGAAGAAGTGTGGAGGCACAGGACCTCCATGCTAATGGCCAGGAGACCACACAGATCTTAGAGAAGCCTGCAAACGAAAGTCCTTGGATGCAATGGTACAATGTTTCCTGTCCCCTTTGTGGGAATAGTCTGTTGATTTGCCCTGCTGCATTACTCAGGCTGGCTGAGTATGGATCTTGGCCTCCCTGGGGAGGTAGGCTGAGAAGGGTTGCACTTTAGCTGCTCTGCAAAAAAGAGCAAAGCAGCATTGTGGCTTACAGCCTGTGGGAGTCACTTGCCACTACACTCCACTTGTGCTTTGCTGAGGCTGAAGTTGCATAGCCCCAGGTCCAAAGAAGCAGGAGCCTCAGTATGAGGTAAGGCTACGAAGTCAGCACCATACTTGAACTGCTCTGCAACTCCCTAATCCCTTACCTACCTCACCAGGCTGTGTTGAGGATTAATAAACTGCTGCTTGTAAGGCCCTTTGGGATTCTCTGAGGTAAGTTGGCTTGGAAGGTCTGGGCATTATCAGTTATTTATTAGTTTAGGTCTGGGCCTCATCCAGCACTACTGGCATTTATTAGCCAGTCTAGACCAGCAGCACACCTGGCTACTTTGGGCTGTGATCCACTCAGCCCTGCTGATGCTCATGAAACCTGATGCCCTGTAATTGCTGCTGAGGATCTCTTTTCAGGTCTGAAAGTGCTCCCCTCCGCTTCCTACCTGTGGAGTCCCTCAGCATGTCTTCTCTCTTCATAGAAAAAGTCAAACACTTGGTTTTCTTTTCTGTCACATTTCTTTCTTCCTTTCACTCAGGAACAGAGTACTGTGGTGGAGGACCCAGGAGTATCTGCATGACACAAGTGCCACTTGCTACCAGTGGCAGCAGGGACTAAAGCAGAAGTGTACATACGTTCTTGTGAATATGGACACACACGTCAGAGATGAGGGATTTACCCAGGCCTATCTTGTGGGCTGTTCTCCGATATCCCAGGTCCGGCAGGCTCTAGTCTTGCAAATACTTGAGTGAGAGCCTGTGGCGGCCCAGTAGGGGGTGCTGCTATGCTGAGCCACCTGCCTCGCTGTTCCAGGCCCAAAATCTTACTTTAGGAGTCTCCCCTGGGGAGCCTACACCTGGCTGGCCCCTTCCAGGAGAAAACCCGCAAGCCTGAGGTAACACTGCCACCACCTGAGCACTGGTCTCAGCTAGGGGTACATAAACCCTGAAAGCCATGGGGGTGCTTTGTCCACAGGTAATAATATTTCTTGGTGCCTCTTTCAGCCTAAAGTTTCCCAGGGTAACCTCAAGTATGACTGAGGTAGCATAAACAATAAACAGCCAAGCTCTGCAGGGAGTAGAAAGGCCCCTTCTCAGCCCCTTACAGTGAAAGAGCCAGTCATGCTGTAACCTGAAACCTTTATTTGGGGGGAGGGGGGGGAGAGAGAGAGAGAGAGAGAAAGGAATTAGAAAAACACATTGAGCAAACCACAATAAGTTGAGCCTTATAGATATTGGGTTCAGCAACCCTTTTAACATGCATCTGAATTACTTAGTTCTAATGTACTAACTAGTTTTCAGGTCTTTACTGACTGATTTATTCAGAGAGAATCTTTGGAGGCTGTTGCTTGTGTCCTGTTCCAGAATGCCACCGGAGGAAGAGCAGAGAGCTCCTCCTCTCCTCAGGAATTTATCCCACATGGTCACCTAGGTGGCCAGGTTAATCTCAAAGAGCAAGCAGGTGAAAAAAAGAGGAGAGTAGCTGGATTCACCCAAACAGGGACATTCAGAGGGGGATTTCTTCACAGAGCCTTCCAAGAACAACCACCTGTTGCAAGAACTGGAGTTGCTGCCTCAGTGGGCATGATTCTCTCTGACCCCAATGTCCTGGGTTAGATGTAGATGCCACTCTGCTCCTAAATGTACCATTTTTCAAATGCTTGGAGAGGTATAATGTCAATATAAGGTTCCTGTGGTTGTTAAGAATCCCATAGTACTTTTCTCAGGAGGAAAATCAACCCCATTCTCCTGGCTGAACTCCATTTCAAGCCCTTCCTTCTGATTCTCTAGAACTACCCCTGCCCCTTCAGCAGAATGAAGCATTCCTCCATTCTTGTGCTGGACTACTGTACCTGCTGCTGCTCAATTAATGTGCTCCCCTTCAGAGGTGACTTCATTTCAGTGGAAGGTTGGACACGGTGATTTGGAAGGAAGATAGATAACAAGAAGCCAAGGGATGGATTTTGCTGGATGAAAGCTAAGTGAGAAGTACACTAGAGTAAGAAAGAATGATGCAAGTTGCTGGAAGTGGGCTATATGTCTCTTCTCCTGTAACATTCCCATCTCCTCTTTCACACTGAGAGGGATCCAAAAACCATTAGGGTTCCAAAAACCATTAGGTTCCAAAAACCCATTCCAAAAACCATTAGGGATCCAAAAACCTTTTCACACAGGAGACAATCAGAAAGAACACAGGTCAGTGGCTTGGGAGAAGCCAACTGATATGTGATAGCTGGAGCAGAGTTTCTGTGTATGTCATTGGAGCAGGGTGGGAATGACCTGATGCTGCAGAACAGATGCAGGGTTTCTTCCTGCTTTTATGCTAGTGGGTGTGCTTCTCTTGCCTTCTTCAAGACCTCTGCACGTCTGAGAAAACAGGCTTTCAGCTGTTCCAGCATGGTAACGTGGCCCATGCCTGTGTATGCATTGGGGATGAGGCAGAGGCAGCTTTGGAGGCAAAAGGCAGCTTTGGGGAACACCATCACCCACAGGAAAGGTCGCATCTATGGGAATTATCCAGTACATGGAGGCTCCGCCCCCCTGCAGGTGCCGTTGTTACAGATCCTTACCAGTGTCTGTTTGTGTAGATCACTTGCTTCAGAGTCCTTCCCAGTCTGTCACCCCTTCTTGCCCAGGTTCCTACCCCTTTGGGCTCTACCCCTGACATAGTCATTGTCCTTCTGCCAGCAGACATACTTGTACATATTGTGGAGTCAGCAAAAGTGCTGGTGTGTGCAGCTGGGAAGAAGGCAGCCCAGAGGGTGGGAACAGTGGATTCTTCTGTTCTAGCCTAAGCAGGAACCTGCTGCCATCTAAGTTGTGGTTTGCAAGGCTGGGGCTTAGCTGGATCAAGACCTTTCTAAGAAAGATTTGTCTCTTAATGACTGGGAAAGGCCACCTGAAATAGGTCAGCCTAGGCAGACTCCCAGCCAGATTTACTACTATTCTGATAGTATGGGAACCACCCCCCGCCCCCTCCTGCATTGGAGAATCACCCTCCAGAAGCCAGATGGGTGCATGTGTGGACCATGAACGGGACGACAAGGCACAGCCATTCAGTAGTGTAACAAGGGGTAAGTGAGAGGCGCACATGCACTGGGCGCCACCTGAGAAGGGGCTGCCTCACCCTGGGGCTACTGCCTACCTTCCTCTGCCTGCTTTGCCCATAGTTTCTGGCCCAGGAAGGACCTAGTGGGCAATATGTGTAATGGAGCAGTAGGCACTCTGGGAAGCCTAGTTTTGCAGAGAAGCAGTGGAGTTTGCTGCTTTTGAGAGGAAAACTGACCCCCACTTTTTGCCACTGAAATCAGCATTTTTTTGCCTTTTGGACATGGTCTTTGGTGGCCAAAAAATGGATGGGTTTTCCCTCAGCAATGGGAACATTTACTTCCAACTAGAGAACTACAATTCCCAGAATGCTGTGTGCTGAGCATTGCTGCTATTTCTGTGCTGGCCAGCCACAGGGGGAAGAGGAGATGGAAGGGAGGAGGGAGATGGGGAAGAGTGAAAGACAATGGCCCCAGGTTGCATTTTTTCCATACTACATCTCTGCTTCATTAACTGAAATGTCACCACATGACTTGGGTAGGAACTGAATCCACACGGCTGCCCCAGCCTTCAGCTGTCTGCCAAAAGCCTGGGCACTCCCTTGTGCAGGCCACAATATACCTGCCTCTTCAGAGTTTCTCAGGTTGATTAAAATTTACAGCTCAGCTGTCAGCCGTGATGGCGGTAGTGCGGTAGGTCACTGGGCAGAGTGGAGTTTTTCTCCACAGCTAACACTTCCTACATTTCTGTTTCATTTTTTCTTTCTTCTGCAGCTCCTCTCTGCTCCTGGCTCCAGATGCCAAGTGGAGATGCAGACAACCTAAGACAGCCTAGGGCAAAGATGCAGCAGGTCTTTAAAAGGAAGAGTGATGGTGAACCTTAGTCCAGAAAAGCTAAACTACGCTTGGCACGGCCACAGAGATGTCAGGATGCGCTGCTTTGTAAACAAGTGACTGCACTTGGCAACAAATTCATACCATCAAGTTACCTGAGACTTACAACCCCTGCCCCCACTGCACAACAGGCACCACAGAGCTGCAGACAGAGCCACAGTCTCTCAGCCCCAAATTAGCCCCTTAAGGAGAACTTCAGCTCTTTCCTTCAGCCTGGCACCACCAGGATACCAGCAGCATGATCCTGACTTAGTGCACTGGGGCCTGTCCCAGCTCTGTAGCTTTTCTTCTACTACTGCAAGGGCAATAGCAGCTTCCCCATGCAGCCTGGGAAGATGCCTGCTCAGATCCATGTCATGGTCCAAGGGTGCAGCCCCACCTTGGGTCTTCTGCTTTGCCAGCTGGTGCTTGAGCAACTGTCTCAGTCATAGGCCCTGGACAACAGCCCTGCTCCACCTTGCAGTTGTGGTGCTGGGATGCAGGTAGCTCCTTCAGGTCAGCTGCAGTTCTAAGATTCAGAGATGACCTCATGAAGGAATAGCTATGTTCTGTCCCAGCTTCTGCTTGTGTCTAAATGACCTGCAGCAGCCCAGAGCCTGGCCCAGCTGTTACTGCCCTGTTCTATGCTCTTGCCCATGGCTAGTGATTCCAAGTAGGACAGAGCTGGGCTAATGGCATGGTACGTGTATACGCAGTTTATAACTGACTAGTGCCTATGCTGTGAATCAGCTACTGGCACAGACTATGCACATACATGGCTGTGGCAGAACATGGGGATCAGCTCCTGCTCAAGTTAAGGCAGTGGAGCTGGGCATGCTGAAGCAGCCCAGGTATGCTTAGTCTGTCTGCATAGGTATGGCTATGTGGCACAATGTAGCACCATGCCAAGACACCCAAGTTAGTTCTAGTGCAGCAATCCACATGGGCTCTTTTATCCTGCTTTTTCAGGCAGGGCTAATTAGGCTGGGGGAGTGCTGTGCTCGTCTAGCTTTGGTACTGGAACTAACTCCAAACAAGGTAGGTTGGGGATCTCTTCATGGCCCTACATTGTGCTGTGTAGACACCCTCTGCACGTACTCACAAGAACAAGCAGAACCAGACAGATCACCACCTCCCACAGGGGCCCTGCCCAAGATCATACGAACTGAGGATGGGCTGAGTCAGTCCTGAAGCAGCTCAGAACAAACGACTGCAGTGACCTGGCCTCCAACTCTTCCTGTTCTAAACAGCAATCATTGCCCCTTGATGCCAACTCACACAGATGGGAACTTGCAAGTGTTCTGCCTAGGGCAGTCCAGCTCTGTGTCTCCACCTCAGGGAACCTCATTAATACCTGGATGGAAGCAGGTTGAAGAAGCCCTGTTTTGGGATTCCAAGATGGGAAACAGCTTGCAAACAGGCAGGGCTTTTGTCTGACTTTAGGCAGTCTTCTCTTCCACACTAGCTAGGAGCTAGGGGCCAGAGCCTGATTCTGGCAGCCAGCAAGATAGAAGCAGCTGCCCTTGTAGCTCTAAGCCTGTGCATTCTAGTTCAGAGTGAGTTATGACAATGACATGGTCACTGGGGAGGCCCAGGTGCCCTCCCCTGCAGCTGCTGATTGCTTTGGTGTTCAACTGCACTGTAAATAGACAAGCTAAAATCATTAAAGCTGCTGAACATATGCAGAACTGGTTTTATTTGGACACAGGAACTGGGCCTGAGCTCCTGGCAGTAGGGTGGACTCTCAGGAACCCATTCCCCCAGGGGGCAGGGAGTAGGACCATGGAAGAACAGCTATTCTGCAGAAGCAGCTCCTGCTGAGTCCAGCAGGGTAAGGCACAGCTACTGCATCCCTTGATAGCAACACCATGTACTATGTCTATCTCTACCATTTCTAGGGGTGTAGGTTGTAGCCGTGTTGGTCTAAGGACATAGGCAGACAAGGTTCCTTGGGTGAATCTGATATCTTTGGGTGCAATCACCCTTCTTCAGGCACAGGGAGTCTCTTCTGTTC